TACGATTCCATATCAAAGGTATGCTGGAGCAATCCCCATTTTTTCGGTATCGGAATAAACGAGCAAGATCATTGAAAAGTATATTATCAATATTTTTAGAAATAGATAAAATATCTTGATAGTCATGTACCTGGGACAACATAGCATGGCAAATTACATCCAACGACGTTGAACGTGTTCATGTTCTTCTTCGTCCTACAACTATAGGCCTACCGGCATAGTCCTGCAGGACAGGTCATTAATATAGTTAACAATGAGGACCTTCAATGACTTTTATAAGAGGGCCAAAGTTTAGGGAACCCCGATCTTTCATATGTCAGTTTTAAATACTTTTAATATTCCCAACAATCAAAATGAATTTGAATTACCATACCTATACTGGATTCCAAAACTCAATAAAAATCCTTACAAACAAAGATACATAGCGGGTTCCAGTAAATGTTCTACTAATTGTACACACAAGTACATTGTACTCTGAAGTTGATATTAAAAAGATGCTTGAGTTTTTGATCGACAATATCTGTGTAGTTTTTGGAGGTCAGCTCTTTCAACAATCTATTGGAATTCCCATTAGTCCAATTGCGCCTCTTGTTAGCAGACCTATTTTTGTACTCATATGAATAAGAATTTATTCAAAATTTTCTAAATGAGAAGAAAACATTTACCGTGGCCTTCAACTGGACATTTAGATATACTGACGATATTTTATCAATTAACAATAGTTACTTCCATACATATGCCGACTCAATTTATTCCAGTGAGCTAGAAATAAAAGATACCATAGAGTCTGACGCATCTGTTTCATATTTGGATATTTTACTAGAAAAAGACTTTAATGGTATCCTAACAACAAAGTTTTATAATAAATGTGATGACTTTAATTTTTCAATCGTCAACTTCCCTTACTTATGTAGCAATATACCCTTATCACCTGCATATGGGGTTTTTGTCTCCCAGTTGATTCGACACGCAAGAACATGCTCTAAGTATGAACAATTTCTAAAACAAGGCAAGCTATTGACAAACAAGTTGATGAAACAAGGATATCAACAGTCTCATTTGAAGTCATCATTTTGCAAGTTATATGGTCGATACAATGACCTTGTCAGCAAATACAACTTATCATTTAGTCAAATGCTGACTGACGTTTTTCATACTTATTGTTAGGCTATTATTTACTCACTGAATTGTCTACGGATTTTTCCCGATCATGACAATGAGCACACGGCGGGTGTGACCAGCCGACAGGGGATGCTCACTCCTACATATGAACCTGATTCCACCTCCGACGTTTTTGAGGTCTGTTCCCGATTTGTATTGTCTGAATGGACTTTGAGCTTGAATACTGTTCGCTATCTCCATATTTTAGGTATCGTATCTTACATGTAGTCTACCTGTGTTCCAAGTCTTAATGACATTTGACCAAAACTTAAAGAAAAGTGCATTTTAAAAGAATTTCGAAGAAATTTCAATTTTTAGTATCCATGGCAACAACAACTGCCGAAATCAAAAACAGATTAAGAGAATTATGTATCTTAATATAGTCAATTTGTTTACCAAGTCTTACTGAAATTTGACCAAAACAGTAGGAGTAGCACTGAAGAGTTTTTAATTATTTCTATTTTAAGTAACCATGGCAACACAGTTTTTGAAATCATAAACTGAAATACAGATTATATGTATCTTAGAATAGTCTATTTGTGTACCAGGTCTTATTGAAATTGATCAAAAACTGGAAAAGGATTATTGTCTTAGAAGAATTTCAAAGACATTCGTATTTTAGTAACCATGGCAACACCTTATGTCAAGATCGAAAGTATCTAAGTATAGTCTACTTATTGAAATTCGACCAAAACTGGAAGAGGAGTAGCGTTTTTAAAGAATTTAAGGAATTTCTATTTTTAGTATCCATGGGAACACCCTTTGTCAAAATCAAAAATCAACAAGCATTCTGAAAGTATTGCATTAGCAATACTAGTCCCCTACCGGCAAGTGTAATCGGTTCCCGTTAAAAATTGAAAATGCCCCAATTCCGTCAAAAATCAATCAAGGGAAATGCAAACTTGATCAAGGTAAAGTCATGTACCAAAAATCAGCTCAGTATCTGCAAGTATTTAGAACAAAATTGCGGAAAAACCTGAAAAATTGAAAAGGTTTAAATTCCTTAAAAAATCAATGGAGCGGAACGATATGCAAACTTGATCTGTAACTCATGAAGATACACTCACATGACAGAGGGACGGACAGACTCAGAGGAAACCTATAGTCCCCTCCGGTTTCACCGGTAGGGGACTAAAAACAGAAAAGCAGAATTATGTATCTAATTATACCCCATTCATACGACGAAAATTTGCTTATGTGTGCAAATTTACAGATGAGTAAATTTACACACATAAGTAAAAGTTAATTTGCTATGCGTTCAGATGAGATTTATGTACCATAAGTAAATCCTCAAATTGTCATTTAAAATAAGGAGATGGACCGCTTCAGACTTGTGAATTTTCACAGAAAAAAGGGTATTTCCTTACTATTTGGGTATAGGATTAACTTACTATTTAGGTATAGGATTAACTTTTGTATGTTCCTAAAAGAAACTACAAGAAAAATCCGATCCAAAAATTGGTACGACAGATCCGTTCTTTATGACTTAAAGGACGAAGATTGGTATGAGAATTTTCGAATGTTTAAGGAAGATTTCATAAAATTTTGTGAGAAGTTGGGAAATGCTTTTGTCCCGATCCAAAGACTGTAAAAGAACCATTGGATGTAAAGAAGAAGGTGGCTGTTACCATCTACTGGTTAGCGTCTTCAGCGGAATAAGGGACGTACGATTGGAAATCATTTTGGTGTTGGGAAATCTACCATGTATGATTGCAAACATCAAGTTTACGAGGCCATTATGGAACATCTGCTTGAAGAATATGTGTATTTTCCAGAAGGAGAATGAAAAGGGTGAAGATAACAAACTGTGATCGATCTCAAAAATCTTCGAACAATACAAATATGTGAAGAGGGAATAAACACGGACCCCTGGAAATTCCAGTGGTGGGATCAGGTGCCTAGGAGGAGTGAGCATTCCCTGTCGACCGGTCACACTCGCCATAAGCCCTATGTATTGATCATTCTGTAGTCAAATTAAGTATAAACAAAGTCCTAACAATTGGTATGAAAGAAGTCAGCCAAAATACGATCCAATGATAGGTTATATTTGCTAATAAGATCATTATAATGACCATAGAGTAATTTTCCGTCGGTCTCCATATTGGGCGCTAACAAGGCCATATTCCTTCATAATTCAACCAATTTAAACTTCTCATACTGGACAATGAGGCGAAGATACACAGTTTTTCTTACGAATATATGTTAACAAAGTTCATAGGTTTAGTAATTCAAAGATTTTTGCCCTTATATTTCTGCTCAAATACCAGTTTGATCTCCAAGATGGCGACCAAGGTAAATAACTCGAATTAAAAATGTGTCATATGAAATCTATCTATTTACCAAATGCTGACTTGAAACGACGTTGTTGAAATCCTTGTAACATAAACTTATCTGTCAGTAGCCTGTCTCAGTTTAAAACTGAGAAAGGATGAAGAAAGTCATCAAGGGCTAAACTATGGTGGAGCGATTGACGACACACATATTCCTATCATAGCTCCTAAGCATTCACACGGAGACTACTTGAACAGGAAGGGATTCTACTCATTGAATCTGCAGGATGTTTGCAACCACAGCTATATCTTTAGAGACATAAACAGGTTTGCCAGGAAGGGTCAGATGCCCGCATTTTTGCATATTCGAAAATTTATTTCAGAGGAGATAATGGTTCCTTGTTTCCAGAGTGGAGAAAGCAGTTTGGAGAAATTACTATGCTAGTAGTACTTCTCGGCGACAGAGCGTATAGCCTTTGAAGACTTGGCTTTTGAAGCCATACACAACAGATCTACATTTACAGTAACCGAGTTCACTTTCAATTTTTGTTTACTTAGCGCAAGACTGACCTTTGAAAATCCGCGTATTTTTAGAGCTTTACTTTCTAGCAGCCATGTTTACGGACTGATATTTTACATGCCAATGCATATACAACCATAACACTTAAAATGGAGATTCATGCAATACACATGACGAAAACTTACATAAGTAAATTTGCTGCGTCTTCATACGACAAATTTTACACACGGGAGCAAATATTTTGTGACAACATGTATGCAAAAGTTAATTTACACCTTGTCCTGACCAGGTGCAAATTTACTCTACTGTGCATAATTTGCATATGAGCAAATCAGTTCATACGACAAAAATTGCACATGTAAGTAAATTTACATATGTGTAAAATATACTGAGGTATGCAAATCGTGTCGTATGAATGGGGTATTGGTATAGTCTACTAGAGTACCAATTAAGTCTTATTGAAATTGAACCAAAAAGTGTAGGTGGTGAATTAAGTGTTTTAAAAGAATTTTTAAAGAAATTTCTATTTTTAGTAACCATGGCAACACCGTTTTTAAAAATCAAAAATCAATACAAAGAATTATGTTTCTTATTTTAGTTTACTTGTGTACAAAGTTTTATTAAGATTGGACCAAAACTGTAGGAGGAGAAGCATTTTGAAAAATTGTTTACAGACAGCTGGACAGCTAGACAGTTTGTTGGAAGGACCGACAACGGACACTTTACCAATGCATAAACTCTTCTGGTCTCTGACCAGTACAGCTAAAAAATCAGACATTGTGTAATAAATGAAAGTGCAATGCAAAATTTTATAATATAGCATCATGTGCTAATATTAAAAGTCTATGTTATTTTCATCAAAAAACAGATAATACAAATGCTACAATTGGGGTTGTGTAAACTTTACAAAGAAGTGATAACTAAGCACCAGTCAAAACTACAGAGAACAGATTACTGTTTCAATGAATAATCTACAATTGGGCATTGTGTAAGTTAGCTTCTCTAAAGTGTAGATTTATCTACTTAAAACACTGAAACGCTAGAACACAATATTTCTTTGTTACTGAGTAACAGTTTATTGTTTAAAAAAAATAGATAGAATGTACAAAAAAAATCACAATTGTAAAATCTCAACTTTGCAAAATTCACTGCATTAAATGGCACAGTTTGTGAACACATTGGATTCTGAGATGAAAATTCATTTGTGTGAAAATAAAATATCACATACCGGTAAACTACAAAAATTGCTGTTCCTATTTAAATGCAAAAGTTAAGGAAGCCAGTAAACTCAAAAAGGAAGTTATTTAATGTAATGTTGAAACACTTTCATGTGTTTAAATAACACACTTTAAAATATACAATGCACTTTGTCTTACAATTCTTCACAAACCTGATCACCAGTCCAAAAACTGTCAAAGGTTTGAAAATGATAAAAATTATAAAAAAAAATGATACAATTATTACATTGAGAGAAAGAAATTAATAACAAAATAAAGAAATATCTTTTTAAAATATATCTTTATAAGAAAAAAATTAGTACATAAGTGGCAGGGCCTCAAACATAACGTGTAAATGTTGAGTATCATTATACTATATTATATATATATATATAAGGTACTTAACATTATTGATCATAAATGAATGCCTCAAAATGACTATGAGAGTAACATTATCTGAATATATTTCATCATACATGTATCTATATTCATTTGGACAAGGAAATGTATTAATTAACTTCTCAGAAAAAAAGTTCTCAATATGAAAACTAGATAATTATCAGCGAAACTTTTAAGATTCAGTAATAACAAGATCTTTAAAAACATGGTGTTTCTTAGATTTTAAGTAACTTTGGGTCAAATGAAAAATAATCTATTGAAGATTTGCTGTTATATACAGAAACATCAGATCTGCACAAATATAATGAACCTGAGTGTACTCTACTAAGTCTAAACACAAAATTTGTTTGTATGACAATACACTGAATAAGAACATGATTCCTACTTCAAAAGCAAGAAAACCAATGAGTTACTAAATATGTTTGTGTGTGTGAAAATAATATCATAGAGTAAAAAAAAATGTAAACTTTGGTTTTATAAAAAGAATATTCAAGGAAAAAAGAATACATTAGGCAGTTATCATACATTACTTGTGACAGGTTTATTTAAAATCTTTTCATAACGTTGTCTGAGATGAGGTTTCTTCTCAGATCTTGATCTTAAAAGACCATATATTGTTGTTACAAATACCTGCAATAAGATGAATTTGAAATTTTCAGTTTAGAGAAAATAATATAGATCTTGGTTTAAATCAATGACGTTGTATTCTCTTGATTTTCACATTTAAATCTATGGAAGTTTAAGCATATAGCTTTACTCAACACTTTAACTTACAGAGAGGGTAATCAATCCTGCACAACCTGTTGCTGACCAATCAAAACCAAATTCTTCCACCAAAACTCCCCCTACAGTGGGCCCCATAAATGCCCTATAAATAGAATTAATTTAATACATCATAACAATTTCTTGAATAAAACAACAAACATATGTTTGTTCTTTTTTCTCTTGAAAATATACAATTATTAACATGAGATAAAGGTAGGTATTACCCTAAGGAAAAGCAGGAATTAAAAAGTCCAGAGACCATACCATGAGTGTCCATATTTTCCTCCATTCCAAGTTCCCTGTCAATTGTTATTGAATATGTACATGTATCATTTAACTATTACTAGTATTTAAGTTGTGGTACTTAATCAAATATTTAAGATAAATAAATCATTATGCTGGTATTTATATTTTTCCAGACAGTATGTTAATTATCAAACCACTAGTTTGCTCACTTAAAATCAATTCACACAATTTGTTCATAAAAAAAATGAACCTTTACAATGTTGGTCAATACTTATACTCAAATTAAATCTCTTCAAGATTAAGAAACCTTTAGAAAAGTGTTATATGTTGAAAGTAATTACACTCTAAAATCCTAGAATTAATAAGATGTGTTTGTGAAACACTGATGTCCCTGTGTGGCAGCTCAAGGCGAAGATTAAAGTTCTCAGATGCAAGTCAAACTCAAAGCCCTAGCATCAACCATTCAACCATTCAAAAGTTATGGCCAAGGTTAAAGTTTTTCAAAAGAGGTCAAACTCCAATGTCAATGTCAAGAGGTCAATAATATTAAGGTCTTATCACAAGGAATATATATGTGAAGTATTAAAGTCCTAGCATCAATCATTCAAAATGTATGGCCAAGGTTAAAGTTTTTCAAAAGAAGGTCACACTCAATGTCAAAGGGTCAAAATTGTTGGTAACCAAGGAAAGGCCTTGTCAAAAGGAATATACTTGAAGCTGAACACGCTTCGTAAAAAGAATCTGTCCGCCATATTCGGTTGGACTTGCGCTATATCTGAGGACCCCTATATATAGAGCCGCTCACTTGGTCACTGTTCAGTGTAATCACTGTCACCGGTGTAGACGGACGTATGCTATACAGCACTTGGTAGCGACAAAAATAACTGTGTGCTTCTTATGCAGGAGAGTAAGATGCCAAAAAGATTTACAACAGTTGCACAGGGCAGTGCAGTATACAAACAAACAAAAATACACGTCAGTAACTGCAATAAAATGTAAACAGAGATAATGCAAGATAACCAGCACGAACACGGTCGCCATTCCACGCCGATACCCGTGACAATAAAGCAGTCAGGTGTAACGAATGCGAAGAGTATACCCCTAGTGCTGATATCTTAGATAGTAGTATCGAAAATGGCGTATGCCTATTTATGAGTCGTGTTCAGCTTTAAGAATGTGAAAGCCCTAGCACTAACCATTCAAAAGTTATGACCAAGATTTAGGTTTTTCAAAAGTAGGTCAATTCAAAGGTCAAAGGGTCAAAATAAATGATGCCCAAGGGAAGGTCTTGTCACAAGAAATGCATGTGTGAAATATAATAGCCCTAGCAGTAACTGTTCAAAAGTAATGGCCAAGGTTAAAGTTCTTCAAAAGTAGGTCAAACTCCAAGGTTAAGGTCAAAGGGTAAAAGTCTTTGGTACCTAAGGGAAGACCTTGTCATAAGGAATACATGTGAAGTATGAAAGCCACTAGAACCAATCATTCAAAAGTTTTGGTCAAGGTTAATGTTAAGTAAAATTTTGCAGAAGTGGTCAAACGTCAAGGTCAAGAGGCCAAATTTGTTGGTACCCAAAGAAATGACTTGTCACAAGGAAGAACGTGTGAAATATGAAAGCCAAATCTCCGACCAATCAAAAGTCATGGGCAAGGATAAAGTTTTTGTGGACAAACAAACAGCTAAACAGACACATGGATGGACAAAGCAAAAACTATATGCCCCAGAACTTCGATTATGGGGGCATAAAAATTGATTTTCAGAACCTTTATTGGTCACTTGGTTGAAAATGAAAATTCCGAAATGATATTGCACATCTATAGGACACAACCAATCATATTCCAAAATATGATTTATTTACTGCTTAAAATAAGAGAGGAGTTCTAGGAACATCCTTTTTGAAGAAAAACATTATTTTTTTAAACCCTTATTTGGGACCTAGATGAAAATGAAAATTTCAGTTTTTATGCCCCCATATCGAAGATTCGGGGGTATATAGTTTTTGCCCTGTCTGTCCGTCTGTCTGTCTGTTTGTCTATCTGTTTGTTTGTCCTCAAAAACTTTATCCTTGCCCATAACTTTTGATTGGTTGGAGCTATGACTTTCATATTTCACATGTGTATTTCTTGTGACAAGGCCTTTCTTTGGGTACCATCATGTTTGACCTTTTGACCTTGACCTTGGAGTTTATAATAAAAGCATAGCAAGAAAAATAAATGTAATATAGCATTTCTTACTTTGCCGAGTCTATCAAGCCTCTGAATGTAGGAATGATGGCACATCCTATACCCAGCCCCATTAATGCCAGTGATAAAATGATAGACCACAATTCACTGTAAAGAAAGGTCATAAAAGTGTATAGGGAAATGAATTTCTTATGTGGAAAGTTTCATGAAAATTGAAGTCCTCCAAAAGAAAAAAAATTGAAAAAAAAGTTGGAATTATTTTTGACAAAATAAAATATTGTTATTCTTTGCTTTTCTGAGGTATCCTTTTAAAAAATTTAAAAGAATGTCTGCCTTTCCAGAATTGTGAATCAATTTCCCAAGATTAACTCACAACTGCATTTGAAAAATATGGACTTAATTACTTGTATACTTATATGTACTTACAAAGGTAACTGTTCTATCAAAGGAGTAGGTCCCATTAATAAATAGCCAACTGCCCCAACCAAACCTCCCAATACAATCATGGTCTTCACAATGCCCTGTAAAAAAGTAAGTTCACAAGACTGTTTTTAGAAAAGCTGGAATACAAGCAGCTTTTGTTAAATTCTGAATCAAAACAATATCTATGTGCAGGTATTTACAGAAAAAGAATTAATGTTCTAAAAGAAAAGATCTATCAAATACTGTTTCCTAAAAAATTCCTTCTGCATCTTGATTTACAAATACTGGTACTTAAATTTGATTAAAATCGTAGATAGCCATGATCTAAAATACAACCTTATGAATCTAACATTACAAAACAGAAGACTTGCCTTTTTATCAGTGAGATAACCCCAGAGAGGAGCAGTAAAAGAATACACACCACCAGATATAAGGAACATCAGTCCAATCAATGCTGTTTTACCATTCAACTTGAAAATAAATAAAGCAGTGAACAAACTGTTTTAGATTTATCCGCAAGGAAATGTGTGCATAAGACCTCATCAAGAGCCAACCATACCTCAGGTAGCTTTTCAACATGAAGCGCTAAAGTAGGATCAAGAAATCCTAAAGAAAAACTTCCAGCTGATATAGTTAAAGCAATGACCCATGTATATGGATTTTTCAGAAGATGAAGGATAGATTTTGTCTTGGGTCTTGGAGAATCTGAAAGATACAAAACAGAGGTGCAGGGCTTTCCATAAGGGGTGGCAAGAGGCAAGTTATCAGAATTCACTGCTTTGAATTTCATAGATGGCAAAATAATCTATTGGAAATAATTCTAAAACAGTCTCTTCAAATGGATAAATTCACCTTTTCACTTCAAAGTTATTGAAAACCCTAGAAGTGGTGATTTCTCTACTAGTGATGACATTTCCTTTTATTCTATGTAAATGTATATAAAAAGTTATAGAATGATTTCAATGACTTGATAATCTTGTCATAGTAATGTCACAGGTAGTAAAATTACACTTTGATACTGTTCAATACGAATTCAAATTGAAAAACTCTTCAAGGAATAATCTTATCATTGAAAAATATTACAGGGATCGACATTAACGGTTGTCCGATTGCCCGGGGCAAGTAAATTCTCAGTTCGGGCAAGTGAAACTGCTGATGTACTTGTCCGATCGGGCAAGTGAATATTTCTGATAGATTTTTTTTCTTTATTTCTTACACTACTTTATAAACAAACAATAAATTGAACATTTGATTTCTACCAATAATATAACATTGTTTTTACATTCGGAAATTCCTCGATAGCGTTTCTAGACCATACCGTTTATTCAAAAATCAGGTTCGTTATTCCATTTTTCTTTCGTGGTAGTTGACAAAAATATGTTTTCCGTCTGACAACTTTCTTTACATTCTTATTATGAAATAGTTCCTTTATTCACTCACAGAATAAAAAAAAAACACCAGTTATTATCGGCGCATGCTCAGGATATGTATACATGTATTTCGAAACATGGAAAGTGTTTTCCTTTAGCGTGGCTTCAGTTTACAGGGGAAATTTTTTTTAAAAAATTACAAAAAGATTATGCAGAAAATAATTTTCAAAGATATGAATTTTATTTTAAAGGAAATATTGCTGCATGACAGTGTGAGTTTACAAGTATTTAAATTGTAGCATCACTGGCACATCAATTTTTTTTCTTCTGGCACTTAACTTGCATTATATATAGAGTAATATCTCACTTTATTTACAATAATAAATTTAGGTACCGGTTTTTTCTTCTTTCTAAATTTTGGGCAAGCAAGTTTTGCATTCGGGCAAGTCAAAGTTTGAGTTCACTTGCCCGAAGGGCAAGTCAATTTGAAAGTTAATGTCTATCCCTGTATTACTTTCTAAACATGAATACATGTATCTATCATTCTAATCAAACAATTTGATTTAATATATGTAGTACCATGCAGTTCTAACATTTATAGTAACAAATGGAAATCTCATCAGACAATGGAAAACCAACAAAATGACATTCATGTACTCACCATCAATATGCCCAAGTAGAAAATAGCCAAGTACTCCATTAAGTACTGCTATAGAACCAACTACGAAGAATGGCAACCCAAATCCTCCCAACTGAAAAGAAATCATGAAAAACCTGCTCATAAAAATTACAGACTGCAACAAAGAATTAACCTATGTAGTCTACATTTGTTCAAAATATTTTTTTTTCAAATAATGAAATAAAAAAATTACAGACAGAAATATACAGACAGGTCTGCAATATCATCCCCCCAAATATATTTAAACATGTATACCACTTTGTGTTTTGCAAAATTTTGGATTTCCTGTCTGGTGTTAAAAATTGACACCTGATTTATTATATGATTCAAATGTCTCTCCAACATGACATGTACCCTTAAAAGTTATAGCAATGAGATTACACAGATTATATTACCTGATAGAGGGCGCCACCTACAGCTGGTCCAACAATAAGACCAAGTCCACTGAATGTCTCTAAAACACCCTATACACACACAGAAAATATAAATCCATTTCATAAAATGATCCTCAGATATCTGGCATAACAACCATAAAATGACATTTTTTATACATCTGGATATGTTTATGCTAATGCTTACAAAAACGGTGGCAACATGATCAGGGAACACGGTAGCTATGATGGCAAAACTGGCTGTTACGAACAGTGAACACCCAATCCCTTCTATTGTACGGCACAGAAAACACATTACAATGTAGGTAGTTCCATTAGGACTCTTATCTAACACTCTGGAATAAAGTATACACATCTATGAACAATCATTCTTAACAGTAACAAGAGGCCCATGGGCCACAATGCTCACCTGAATAACTATGGACCTTCTGTTCTTCATCAGCAGATTCTTTTTCCTATACAGTGTATATCTCTGGCCCCATCCTACCCCAGGGGGTATTAATTTGAACAAACTCGAATTTACATTGCCTGAAGATGCTTCCATATACACGTACATTTAGATATGACTAATCATTGCTTTGCTGTTCTTGAAAAGAAGATTTTTGAAGATTCTTCTATATATTTCTACTCAAAACTTTGATCTCCCATTTTGGTCCCACTCTACCCCCAAAGGACATGATCTGAACAAACTTGAATCTATACTACCTGAGGATACTTCCAGAAGTATTAACAAGTATTTTTCCTATGTATTCTTATATACAAAACTTTGATCATCCATTGTGTCCTTACTTTTCTCCCAAGGGTTGAAAACAAACTAGAATGTACACTAGCTAAGGATGCTTTCATATAAATATAATTTATCAGGCTCTGCTGTTCCCCAGAAAAAGATTGTTAAAGTTTTTCCTGTGTATTCCTATGTAAAACTTTGATCATGCATTGTGGCCCCTTCCTACCACCAAGGGTTGTAATTTGAACAAATTAGAATAAACACTACCTGAGGATGCTTCCATATAAATATGACTGCATGATATGACTGCATGATCATAGCTGTGCTGTACTTGAGAGAAAGATTTTTAAAGATTTTTACTTTACATTCCCATGTAAAACTTTGTTCTCTCAAAGTGGCCCCATCCTATCCCTGGGGGTCTATGATTTGAAACAAGAGGCCCAAGGGCCTTAACGGTCACCTGAGTACAACACAACAATTTAGAGGATCCATAAACTGATAAATGAAGCTTTGTTGCCCAAAAGCAAGAAATATAGTATGATTAGCATCAACAAAATAATTGGTCTAGTATCTATCTGTCCACCATTTATCACTATTACCATGCAGACTATTTAACAAAATGTCTATTTTTGAACCCCATATTATTACTTCTCACATTGGCCTCTCTTGGCCTTAGAAGAACATTTAAAAAGGATAAGTTATTTTTGTCTCAATTTTATTCATCTATTATTTCCAAGTCTACCTGATCATTAAAACTGTGAAAGTACTTTTTGTATTTTACAATAAATATTCTTGCATAATTCTCATATTCTATTAACCTTTCAAATACATTGTTTACAGTGGCAAAGGGGAATAACTTTGCTTAGCAGAATACAAGTTAATAGAGCACTGGGCAGGACCAGAACACTTGACTTAATGGTCCAGGTGTTCAAAATTCTGGTAAAAATACTTTTGCTTATTAAAACTTCTACTCTGTTTGCCTCGAATATGCCCAGAAGCATAGAAGATTTTCAAAGAAATGCATTTTCATTATATTATTAAATAAATAAAGCCCCACCCTTACACCAGAACATCTGACCCAGGGGCCATGAACTCACAATTCTGGAAGAAGCACCCTTGCTCATCATAACTATACAATTGTTTCTTTGCTTTATAACCAGTAGTAGAAAAAAATATTTTGAAAGAAATTATGCATTTTCAATATATAATCAATAGAGTCCCCCCCCCTTCACCTAACCCCTGACCCAGGGGCTAGGAATTTCACAATTTGGAAGAGGCATTCTTCCTTATCATAACCATGCACTTCCTTTGTTTGAATAATACCAAGGAGCAGAGAAGAAGATTTTGAAAGAATTTATGCATTTTCCCTATTTAATCAATAGAGCCCCGCCCTAACACCAGAACCCTTGACCCAGGGGCCATGAAATTCATAATTTTGGAAGAGGCAACCATGCTCATCATAACTCATCATCACTATGTACTTAATTTATTTAATATCCAGGAGCATAGCAGAAGATTTTCAAAGAATTAATGCAATTTTACTATATAATCAATAGAGCCCCGCCCTGACACCTGAACCCCTGACCCTGGAGCCATAAAATTCACAATTTCTGAAAAGGCAGCCATGCTCATCATAACTATGTTCTTAGTTAGTTTATTTAATATCCAGGAGCAGAGAAGAAGATTTTCAAAGAATTAATGCATTTTCGCTATATAGTCAATAGAGCCCTGCCCTAACACCAGAACCCCTGACCCTGGGGCCATGAAATTCACAATTTTGGAAGAGGCACTCTTGCTCATCATAACTATATACTTAGTTACTTTATTTAATACCCAGGAGCAGAGAAGATTTTCAAAGAATTACCGGTAATGCATTTTCACTATATAATCAATAGAGCCCCGCCCTAACACCAGAACCCCAGACCCTGGGGCCATGAAATTCACAATTTTGGAAGAGGCACTCTTGCTCATCATAACTATGTACTTAGTTACTTTATTTAATCAGAGAAGAAGGTAAAAATGTTCAAATGTTAACACACAACGCACGACGCACTCTGACGGATGAGAACAGATAGCAATAGGTCACCTGAGTGACTCAGGTGACCTAAAAACTTGAATCTACATTATGTCAGGAAACTTTCACGTAAGTTTTGTCTTCACTGGCTTAGTGGTTCTTGAGAAAAAGATTTTTAAATAACCCACCCAATTTTCACTTTTTCTTAATTATCTCCCATTGGAAGAGAGTGTGGCCCTTCATTCAAAGAATCTCAATCCCCTTTAACCAAGAATACTCTGTGCCAAGTTTGATCGAAATTGGCTCAATGATTTTGGAGAAGAAGATGAAAATTCAAAAAAATTTACAATAACAATCTGATGACAGACAACAGACAAAATTCAATCAGTAAAGTTCACTTGAGCCTTTTGCAGGTGAGTTAATAATGTATTGGACAGGTACATTTTTCTATACACATAGAGGTACATGTAAGTCATACTTTTATATGTAGCATAAACTACAAATCTTTCACTAAAGAGTTCAAAACTTTAAGAGGAAAAACTAGAAGTACAAAACTAAATAAATTAATTGATCTATATAAACATGAAGAGTAGGCATACCCAAATAATATGGCACATGTACCTCCAATCATGGTACCTGAGAGATACATGAACTTTGACCCAATTTTTGTAATCTGTAAGGAAATTGTTAATATTTTTTTTTAATTGACTCTAAATTTACTTGCACAAGTTTAATTACAACATTATTTTGGGAAAAAAAACCTAATAATTGTAAAGAACAAGGCATAATAGGGCTGCTTTTGGCCTTCAAAATAGTTTTAATAAGCTTGTCAGAAATGTCTTCTTCAATTATTATTTATGTGCACAAATTTGTTAGCAAGTACATATGATGTACTAATTCAATTAACAATGCATGACTAATAATCTTTGAAAGATGCAGGCACTGCTTACATATGACATCACAAATAAGAATTGTGCAAAAATAACAATTTGATACACATTTTTTTATGAGAGAGAGAAAGAGAGAGAGAGTGTGTGTGTAAAAGAAAGAGAAGAAAAAGACAGGGAGCACTTGCATAATTTCCTAATATGGGGGATGTCAAGAAAATAACAAACTCAAATACTCCAAATATCATTCCAACCACAGTTTGTGAAACACCTTTCTTTCCTGCCTAAAATTAAAAAAAAAATGATGAAAGCATAAATTGATAATGCTCAGAAGAGTTTTCTTAAATTCAGTGGTATTACGATAACTTTTGTCAATCTATGACAATTTCTTCAAGAATACCAGGTAATATGTTATCATGAGATTACATGTTTACCTCTGCTGGAAAGAATGGTGCTAATAGTGAATAACAAGTCACACTGAAGAAGTTCACCATGGCCATGGATACCAGGAGGATCTTCTTTTGCTTTGTAATTTTAGAGAATGAAAATTCTTTGTCTTCCTCACTACTGTTGCTTTTGTCATCTTTACTTAATTCTAACGTGTTCACAGGTTGCATTAATATGGGTTCATGCTCACTGTCCTCCATATCTTGATGAATAAAAATTAAAAAGAAAAAACAAAAGATTCAATTCAAATAAGTTAACTTTTAAAAATCAAGTGATGTATATAACTTTTTTTTAATGCTGACAATAGTATTTTATAGTATAAAATATTAGCAAAACAAATAGCAGCTCCAGAAGACTTGTTACACTTTCAACAAGGACAAATCATAGCATTATCCCTCTCCTCCTATGTGGTTTCATTAAAAGAACATAATTTCTCACATGATGAATTGATCAACACATATCATCCAATTCAATGCAATCATAATCATTGACCTACACATTCATTTTGTTTTGCATGTTAACTAGCAAGTACTGTATATGACAAAATGAATAATTTAAGTGTTGACTTATTTTTCAAAAATGTTGATTTCATTATTGTCTTAAAGATAGATGATACAAACAAAAAAATGGATGCCTGGATAGGTATATATTTTTGGACCTATTTTGGTTGTAAATGATGTGAATAATAAATTTGTAGAATATTAAGAAATTGTTAACTTTTTATGATGTTCAAAATTCTACCTTTTTGCAATCATCCTTATTAATCTATACAACTTTTCGTCACTTTAAATCCAATTATTGTGAAACTTTGAATTAAAAATGAAAACTATGTGGTTAAAGTAATTCATTTTACTCCTTTGAACATGACTTAAGTTGTTATTTTTAAGATTTTTGACAAAATTTTGTTTGTATCATCTGTCCTTAATAATCCTATGATTAATGAAAAACATTACAATTCATCTCCCATCCCAATGCCTCCCAGGTAAGCCCAGATTAAATCAACATTTTTTTCTACACTGATAGAACCCATGTCAAACTAAAAAAAAATCTAGAACTATATATTATATACAATTTCTTACTAACTTATTTTCTTGGTTTTTATTTACTATGCCTTTTAAGGATTTACCATAGACTTTTAAAAAATACATAATATCAGTAGCTGTAAAGATTCTGGATTAATTCCTTGTATATTCAATACATATTTCTAACTTTGTAATCTCTGTGCATGAATCATTGATGAAGAGAAAATTATGCAAACAAAATGTTTAGTATAGATGATCATTATGATAAAATCCAAAATTTCTGAATAGTATGTAATGCATATTCCCATAATATAGGCTTATAATTGTTCATCATGAGTTTAACAGTTTGTGTTCAAGCTACAGTCTGAGAGAGAGAGAGAGAGAGAGAGAGAGAGAGAGAGAGAAATTTTAGTGATTGTTTTCATTCTTCAGTATTAAAATATTTAAAGATTATTAAATAATACATGTAGTTGAAACAATCATCTGAGTTACTCAGGTGTCCTTAAAAACACTTCTTTTATATTTTAACTTATTTTGTTTATAAGCTCATAAAGTGTTTTTTTTCTGTATTTTTTTTTCTTGAATTCTTTATAAAATTTTTTTTACCAGGTATTGGTCTGCATTAATTGTCATTATTTACCCCCTTTTTAATGCATATTATGAATATATAAATACATTCACTCTCCTCAGAAAGAAGTTCTAGAACAACTTTAATTTTTAAAAAAATTAAAAGTTATCACCTTTGTGATGAAAAGAAATAATGTAAATTGAATATATCATCTCATTAATCATTCAAATGTCAGTGTTACATATACAACATATTGCAATCTAGACATTCATAATGGCCACCTACTGAGGTTAAAAATATAACTTAATACTGAAAGAAATGAGTCTACAAACTTGAGTTGGATTATTATTAAAAAAAAACTCGAGATTATTTTTCAAAAAAAAATGGGGGGGGGGGGAGTCAGCAGATACATGTACATGTAATTGACAAGAAAAG